GCCAAAAGTCCCCGGTATTTAACCAGATTCAAGCAGATGGTACTCTCCGCAGGGTTGACCATGTGGCTAACGAGACGTCAAATCTATCCCCGGTTCTTGCTCGGCTTTGCGAATGAGATGAAACAGTAGAGCAGGTATTCCTCTGCCACCCCACCGTCCGACATGTATTCAAGATGCCTAAAGAAGGTGGCTTTTGCGGGTATAGAAATATCCAGATGCTGGTCTCCCATATCCAGGATACCCGTGCGGATGGCTACGAACAATTTCCTGGAAGGCTCCCTACAATCTTGCGGTTACAGGACCTTATTGAGCAAGCCTGGGACTTGGGTTTTAACAGTAATGCGCAAATAGAAACAGGGGGGATTAAGGAAACAAGGAAATATATTGGGACTTCCGAGGTATTTAAATATTTCGACAAGAAAATGGCTGAGTAACGGTGGATAGTGATAATGCATGTTTTTACTGATTCATGATCAGGCTCAAGCCCTTTTTCTTAGTTTGGGGATTAAGTATGTACCCAATTCCACCAGCCGGCTGTCATTTTTTTGACCGAGTAATCTGACCCATTTGGCTAGGTGCGAGGCCGGCGCCTTCGGTACTACACAAGATATTTCTGCTTACCAAGCTCTTCTTGATGATATATTAGCATATTTCCTCCAGGCCTGCCCGACAAATGGCGAAAGGGTAAACCAAACAGAGTTACCGCCTATCTATCTCCAGCACCCAGGTATCCAGGCCACAGCAGAAGCAGCGTCGATAACATATCCGTACTAGAAGTTTTCATACTAATATATTAATGCTTTGGCAAAATGTTAGGGCACTCTCTGACAATCGTTGGTTTCGAAATACGTAAGAGCGGAAGCCCCAACCTCCTCGTCTTCGACCCAATGTTCAAAACGTCACCCGCAATTGAGAGACTTATTGGCAACAGCCGAGCGAGGCCACAGGATCCACGTTGCCTTATAAAGGCGTACCGGCGGGGTCCCGGCTACCTCCAAAAGCACAAGGAGTTTGAAATTCTCAAGTGAGTTGATCTCCTTTCTTTCCCCCCTTTATATATATACATATATATATACTTTTCCAGGTGTATTAATGGGAATTTACCACTAACAAAGGTAAAATAGGTTGTCTCCATCAATGAGATGGGAGATTCCATTGGAGCCAGAAAAATAAGGGCGCGCTGGCTAACACTGCATATTTTTCCACCTCCAATTATACTTCCCCCGCACCACTAAGGCAATGATCTCTTTGAGAGAATGTTTGTCATGCTTGTTTCAGGTCATTGACGGTTGCAACGTATTGATTTATAAATTATTTATCCGGGGGGTTTCCATTTTGAGTTTTCGTTTGAGTCTTGTTTTCCTATATTCACGCATGTAAAGGTTATCCCTTAGATTCGGCGTTTTAGTTTGGTGTATTTCCACCGATGACGCTCAAAGATCGAGTCGAAAGTTCCTTGTGTATTGACTCATACAGCGTAAATTTTAAATTTAGCCTGTAATCTACACGTGATTCTGTATCAAATATCGGACAAATTACGCCCAAACAGTTTTATATTATTTTCTTTTCAGCATCGCAATATCTCCCGCACATTCCTTGTCCTTCTCCCTTTCCTACATCTAACTTTATCATCCGCCGCGCGCACTCGCAAACCAAAAATGAGGACACTCCCTAATATTATCATCACTGGCACGCCTGGCGTAGGCAAAACTGTCCATTGCGAGCAGTTAGCTCAGGAAACTGGCCTGCGACACCTGTCAATTAACCAGGTAGTGAAGGAGCACAATTGCCATGAAGGATATGACGATACATTTCAAAGTTATATTGTGGATGATGATAAGGTATGTATACGACGTGCTTCTCTTACAATTTTTTTATGATATCTACTCTCGATGCAAGTAAGGGCGAGGATATAGGGCTAATGTGAAAATGCGTTTGCGGTGGTGTAGCTCCTCGATGCCATTGAAAAGGATGTACCAAAGGGCGGGTATCTTATTGATTGGCATGCCTGCGACCTTTTCCCCAAGTCTTGGATTGACCTAGTCGTGGTTATCCGGTGCAATTCTACTTCTATATTATATGACCGGCTTGCCGCCAGGTGAGCTGAATTTTATTGTGCCCTCTGTTTCCTCACAAGTATATGGAAGATCGTTAGAAAGGGATAGAAGGACTAATGAGTTTATTTATTTATTGGTTGCGGTTAATCACAGAGGCTACTCGGAACTCAAATTGCAGGAGAATCTTGACGTGGAAATATTCGATGTACTCCTCCAAGAGGCTAGGGAGTCATACGATGAGGAGATCGTTGTTGAATTGACGAGCGAGAATGATGAGGACATTGAAAGTAATTGCGCGCGTATCGAAGCTTGGATAGATTCTTGGAAAAAGGCTCGTGTGGAAAGCTCCGGCTGAATAGAACCTCTTTTCGCCTCCTAAAGTTCTAAGATATTTGGCAGAATATCAAGGATATGTCTCCGCGAGCCATTGCTTCAACTTCGCAAGCGCCTTGTATCGATGGGAGATAAGGTTCTAGATTGTTGCAAACACTCAGCGTCAATACGGTCAGATATATTTTCTGACAATCCAGCGTTGGGTAGACATGGTTGGACTCCTTTTTCCCTCCCTACCTTTTCGTCCTTGTCCATCTCTGCGAACGTATTCCCCTCATACTCGAATATGGGATCCCAACCTACGCGCGGTGCAATCATGGTCAGCTCATTCAATCCTTTGTTCGCTGGTTTAAAAAGGGAAGGGGATGTGACGGCCCTATTGGGTAAGCGGGGTTATACCGAATGTCGCCAGGCCCCTGGCTGGGACCATTCGACCCTACCATAAGGAAAATTCACATGTCAGGACGAAATCACGATCTACTGGGCCTCTATATCAACAATTTCTTAGACGGTTCGGATTGAGAAGCAGAATGATAACAATACCTCAGTCTTTCCTTGAAAAATGATTGGCTCCGCACCTGGTCCACTGGAAAACGCAAACGTGCACACTGCTACGATGGATTTGTCTTCATATGGATCCAACAACTTATTAAGCCCGTCGTGACCTAGGGCTTCGAGAAACCACTTGCTACAACTTTGTTGTCAGTTTCAAATTTCTTGAAATTCCTCACCGCCCCAGCGTAATCGTCTGTTTTATAGAGTGTGCACATGTATATAAGGGACACAGGGATATCAAAAGGGACGTTGCTTGGTGCTTGATAAGGATGAAGTCGAAAAGGACAGAAGGAAAACTCCTTACATATATGGCCCCGGCAGCCCTTTTAATGCATTGAATTCCAGAGCTGTATCCTCCGTCAACGCTGGCCCTTGTACCTATCCATTTCAAAATCACCCAGAATTTAGCTAGGTGGCCTGTATTTGCAATGTTTATTTTATTAAAAAAAAAAAAAAAAAAAAAAAAAATCAAATCAAATCAAATCAAATCAAATCAAATCAAACCATCCCAATGTGATAGAGGAAAAATCCAAAAAGGTGGTATATTAGATCATTTGAAATAAATCTATCTCCGACATATTCATTGACCATAATAAAAAATCAAACTCCTGCACATACCGTCTCCGCTGCTTTACGGCATTTCTCTTTTGCAATCTCCTCAATCGAACCCTGTATCTCAGGCACATCGATAGCCCGATTCTGCACTTCTATGGTATCCCCTAGAATAGCTTGGACTTCGGCTAGTTTGTTTTTGTTGCCTGTGATGAAGTTGATTGTTTTCATGATGGAGGGGCAGAGATGGTGATCGGATTATCCGCTAAGTGATATTGGTTAAGTGGAGGGTGGGCCAGATGTTTTCTTCCGGAGTTAATTTTGTTTGTCTTGTTTTGGATAAATACTCGCTGGGAGGGGGGTTGTTGTGTGAGCAATGTGCTACAGTGTACTTTGTTAAAAATTCGAGAAAGAAAGAGAACAATTGGTCTGGGAGATTTCAAACTCTTATCAGATGAAGATACGTTTATTTATCGAAAAAGCGTTGCCAAGAATCTTCTTACCCACCCATGACATCATTGCATCTCTCAACTGTGATCTCGTAAGTGAGGAAAATTCAAAATTAGTATAAGTTAACTAGTTGAATTAGGGAATGAGTGTTTTCCTAGAATCTAACAATAAACATCTCGCTATCTATGTAATTTCGGCTAGGCTGGCAAAATGGGATCTCGAATACATTATATATACGCTATCCCGTAAACAAAATGGGGTAGATCTGGCTTGATTGATATAAGGACTAACAGAAAATAAAAGAGAAACTGGAATCCCGTTGTTATTAGTACTTTTCACGCCCGAGATTCCCTGCCTGCCACTCCAAAGCATCCAAAAAAAAAAAAAAGGCAAAATTAGGTTTACATCAACCACATCAACTCAAAGAATTTCTTAGAAAATAATGCGAAACAACGCTAGCAAAATTATATACGGAGTCCAGTTGAGAGAGTATATCTTCTAGCGCATTGATGGGGGAGGCGGGTGTGAGTTTGCTGTTGATTTGTCTGTAGGGCATCAGGGGAGACGAATAGCAACAACACTAGCAGGAGACCATAACACAAGTGGAGTAAGAATTATATTAGGGTACAGGAGAACGGTGGGGTTTCGATTGAGTTTTGTGGAATTGAAAAAGGAAATGGACGTAGACAAATTCCTCACAGCAAACAAAACAATACCAAGTAGAATTTAAACGAGGGAAAAACGAGAAACACCGGGTTTGCTAAAAGGCGCGGTGAGAGGCCGAACGGCGAAACAAGAAAGATAAATAATATTCAATGAGCAACGGACGGAGGGAGCGGTCTTTGAAAATCGCTTCCACTCATCCAAGGTCTATAGAGCGGGCAGCGACTCAGACGCCGAATTTGGGAGAGTAGATGGATACAATTGAATCACCATAATCGAGGCGGGCTCCCAAATACTATTAAGGATAGATACACACAATGGATGACCAATTGAGCACGCGGGGGAAATGAAGATGAAATGCGTCGCTATTTTATTTATGAGGAATCGCTGGGGGCGTCGGGGCCATCAGCCATGTCAAGCTTCTCTTGCTGTGCCATTGCTTGTATGGAGACAATCTCTGCAAGGCGTTTTAGACGGGGTGTTTGGAGCCCTAATTGTTTTATGTTAGTATAGCTCAAATCATCATTGTAGTGCCTTGCACTGGGTATGTGTAGATATAGATCTTACATGATGGGGTATATGTTTCCAAAGCATTAATTGAGCGTGGCTCGGCGATTTCGTAGGGCCCGCTATCTTCTATGTCAACAGCGGTTAAGAGGAGGACATCACTCTTCTCAGTGACGCGAGAGGCAACAGCTTTCATGATTTCGCCGTTAATAGGCTGTTCGTAGTCGGCGACCAGGTACTGGTTGAGGAGCTTTTGAATTTGATTTGGCGAGAGCCTATTGCAGAAATACTATTAGAACCTTGAATTATGTAGCAAGGGCTATGGTGGGAACGACGATTTACTTACATCCAGCAAATATCTTGAATGATCTCGATATCGTTGAGAGTTGCCTTCTTGAGCTGAAGCAATTTCGTCGCTTGCTAAAATAGGGGATTCATTAGCCGAAAATCCACATTCGCCAGAGAAACCATGAACTTACCATGAGGTGTTCGAGCTGCAGGGTTCCTTCCGGCATGTCATGGCTCTTGCACCATTCCTCAATCCGAGTGATATTGTAATTGATCTGTAGACCACGCTTCCAGGACAAGAAATTTCTTCTCATTAGGAGATCGTTGAATGCCGTGACGCCGACAAGACGGAGTAGCTCATTGACTGTTTGCAAGATGATAGAGTCCTCAAGATAGTACGCCTTCATCGCCTTGTATACATTGTTAAGAAGGCTCAAGAGATTGTCCATACTATAAGCAGGGGTGTTAGATGGGAGGAGTTTCCCGAGGAAGCGGTTAGTTTCATTGGTAACGAATCCTGGAAGTGATTGCGACTCGATAATTGCGGGGACAACCATCTTGTAAAGTTTTTGTTTCAAAACTTTCATCCAAGTGTGGTATATATTGAATTCCAAGCTCTCTAGATCATGTTTCACAATTTCCAAAAGACGATCGTATTCGTAACTATCGGTTTTCTGAGCCGCATACCAATCCTCAGCCAGGAAAACAAAGGATAGCATCTCGTGAACGTTGGAAAGCCAGAACGCGCCAGGGTTAATTGCATCTTCACCTTCATGCTGCAGGACGTCTTGCTGAATAGATTGCATTACATTAGCAAGGAAGCGTTCGGATTCCTTGACAAAGCCATTATTCCACATCTCGGACGTAACAAGATTAATAAGGTATGAGGGGAAGAGAACCTCTTTCTCGGTTGGTGGTGGAGTAGAGCCAGGAAGAGGAATTTTAAGGTTGCGGATAAGACCAATCGTAACTTCGTCGTTGAGCTCGTCTTCTTCAGATAACAACGTCTCCAGTTCCATTTCAATAGAGTCCACTCCTGGGGCAAAAGTAGAACCAGATAGATTGGAACGGCGGCCAGCGCTAGGCACAGCCATCGATACTGGCCGTGGGTTATAAGCACCGCTGAACCGATCGACGTCTATCTTCTCCGTGCCAGCACTCCGTCTCTTCGGCTTCGGCTTCTTGGATGAAACCAGATTGATTAACCCAGTAATACCAGGTTGAGAGGTGACCCCGTTCTGAAGATCTCCACTAACCCCATTGACAGGTACAGCCCTCTTAGCAAGCTCTAGTTCATCCTGTAATTCAGTGATTAACTGGCGAAGGGATTCTTTCTCGACTTCGTGGTCAGCATTGGCTTGTCTCAGTTTTTCAAGCTCGGCAGTTGCCACCTTGAGAGATTCGCGCGACACCTTTTCTTCTTCCTGTAGTCGCTTGACGGTGGCCAATGCCTCGGCATGGTTGTGTTGCAATTTATTCATGTCTTCTTCCAAGGCAGTCAACTGTGCAGCGGCAATACCAGCTTGGTTCGCCTCGGCTTGTAGCTCTCGGCTGCGAGCTTCCAGTGCATTGTGTCGACTTCTCCAGGATTTGAGCTGGCTGTCATAATTCTCGAGTTGTGTTGTAAGAGTCTTGTTCTCTCGCTTAAGAGTCCCAAGGGATTGAGTAAGTTCAACGACCTTGTTTTCTAGTTTATAAGATATTTGTTTAAGATCCCTTGCCTCTTCACGCAACTTCTTGTACAGAAGCCGTGCCTTTCTTCCTCTGTAAAGATTCTGAATAATAATGACTTTCTTGCGGTATTGTCTCCAAGCACGGATTGAACGCCAGGATCGGAATGCACGCTGAATGGTCTTGGCTGCATTTCCAAGGATGGTATCCATGATGTTGCGCCGGCAAAGGTAACCTTTCGCAACGGACTCGAAAAGAACGATATTGTTCCGAATACTGACATAATGTTTTCGCTCCTTCTGACCACGCCAAACTCTTTGAATTGTTGTGGCGGCTTTAATACAACGAATCTCCTCGGCGCGCTGTCTCGCCAAGAACCCTCTGATCACACTTTGTGTAGTAAGGATAGACTCGCGAGCCTCAAGGTATCTGCGGCGATAGTACTTGCATTTCAAGTTCTTCTGGATCATTGTTGCACATTCATTCAACCGCGAAGTGCGGAGATTCTCAAGGAAAGCAAGCATGCCTGCTCGGAAAAAGATCTTTGTCAAGCCGAGCTGGTATTTATCTTGCTGATGGCTGGCATCGCCAAGAGCTTTTCGCAAAATTGCATGACCCATGTCACGAATTTCAGACGTCCATTGAGAAGAGTGGCAGAGCATGTAGTAGCGGAGAGCAAATTCTTCGTATGTCCAGCGGGTCGGGTAGCCAGCGCAGCTTATCCTAACCGTTTCAAGTACACCACACGCTCTCAACTGGCTAAGAACCATGGGCCCTTCAAACTTCCACGCTTCCTTGCCCTCATTAGGTTTTATACAGCGAATATAATGAACATCAGTCGAGTTGATGGTGTTCATAAGCTCAATCAAAGATGACTTGAAGATGCCGCCAAGCGTAGGTTTGCGATTGACTGCAACACCGATCTTCCGCCCTGGTGCTGCAACTGGGCGCGAGGACACTGCCGCGGAGTCCTTCTCACGTACAGCGGATGCTGCTTCGAGAACGGCTTTCACAAAGCCGTTGGAGGATTTACGGAGTATTTCCATATGCTCATCCGGAACAGTGTCCCTGTTCTTTTCAATAAATCCATCAGATTCATACGTGACATCGACGGCGTATGGCACACAGTGCAGGCAGACTTACCGATCGAGGTTTCTTGTAGAACTTTTGTTTATTGACCCAAAGTGGGTGATGCAGCTTGTACGAAATGATCATCAGAGCCCATTGGTAACCGAGACTCTTCATCCAGCAAGGACAGGACTCCGAGCTTTCCTTCAATAAGATCAATGCATGGTTGATTGTCTGAGAAATCAATAAATTACCAATCGATTTCTTCATGACATACTCTTCCTGCTCGAGTTTGAACACATGCTGATTGAATTCTTGCTGCAACTTCTCGTTGGCATAATTGATGCAAAATTGTTCGAAGGAGTTTTTGGCGAAATGTTCGAAACCATAAATATCTAGAACTCCAATGAAGGAATTTACCCTGTTTAACACATCTTCTGTAGCTAGCCCGCGGTTAATGGTTTCCACTAACCAATCGAACAAGCTTGAGTAAATGAATTTCGCAACGGAATCTCGGACAACTACAGCCTGTTGCTGGGTAAGATTCGATGTAATTTTTTCGCCGCGAGTGATAAGCTGCTTTTTCACAATCCATTTTGAGAACTCGCCCGCTTCTATACCCAGCATCTCGCATGCGCGCACAAGAGACGGTTCCGTGGAAGAAAGAGAAGAATCACTTCGAGTGGCCTGAATTTTAACATTTCCTAGGTGTAGGAGAGCGGCTAGGATGCGGAATATATCAGTCTGGGTCTCCTTTGCTACGCCTATTGTCGTAAGTGATTTCCTTGTGGCGTCAAATTCGGCTTTATCGTCAACCCCATCGATCATTGGAGCACCTCCTTGATTCAGATACTCGAATTCTTCAATGGGCAAGAGGCCCAACTCTTGCCGTTCCGAGTCCGTAGCTCCAACAACTAGTTGGTAGAAAATATGGTAATTTCTCTCTTTCAGAGGTTGGAAGACAAGTCTTGAACGCTCAAGGAGATATGTTCTTATTTTCGCGCCAATAATATTTGTCTTGTCGTCAAACATAATCTCAATGTATTTTCCGAATCGGGAAGAATTGTCGTTACGTGTAGTCTTTGCATTTCCGAACGCCTCCATGACCGGATTTGTTGCCAAAATTTGCTCCTCTGTCTCACTGATTGAATCCGCCCTTCCCGCATTGTATGATCCCTGGTTGGGAGTCCCTCTAGTGGCAAAATATCTCATGATATATTTCGCGCTCACAGTCTTTCCTGCTCCGGATTCGCCGGACACAACGATCGTTTGATTTCGGCCGTCTCTCAACATATCACTACATTTGTGTATTTCCGAAATCAGAAAATAGACACTAGATCAGCATCAACAGGTAGACGGATATTTACTCACGAGAATGCTTCCTCAGCAATAGCAAAAAGATGAGGAGCTTGTGTGGCCCGCTGTTTCCCGGCATATACCTGAACCATCTGCGGGACGTAGAGCGAATCGACACGAGCAAATGGATTCGTTGCGATGAGAACAATACCGCTGTATGTATAAATTTCCTTTTGAGCATATCGGAGCTTGATGGCTTGTAGCACTATATAGCAGATCCGTCAGAGAGGAATAGATCTCCAAGTATGGAGATATCGCGACACCAAACGTACCAGCTGGTTCATTCAAATGGGATAGATTCGTCAGGTCCTCACTGGCCTCCAACATGGATGGATTCATTAGCGGCGGAAGGGATCCATTGTTGTCCAGCTGCAATTCAGCTTCTGTCGTTTCGATTGTCTTGGTCTGTTATTTTTTGGCGAGGAAAAATGGGATTTTTGTCAGTGATATTTCCAGGTGTAAAGTTGTACAATCATAAACACGAATATATATGTACAGAGCTTCAATGGAAATGGGAAGCATGCTAACCTCTCCGTTTTCCAGGGAAAAGACCAGAACGACTTTGTCCCCATCCACCAACTTCTCAACAAGCTCAGAGCCTACCCATCCTTCTGTCGGGTCCGGCTGCCATGCTCGGGTACCAACGTTGAATATGTGAACCATATTTGCAAACTACAACTCCAACACCACAACACGAACAGATCGTTAGATACGCTTTCTGTACCGAGCACCGGAGTTGTTTTATCCAGAAATTCGAAATGCCCGCGGTGCAAGACTGATGATGGATTGAGTATGACACTTCGCGTTCCCGCATTCAAAATCGAGGCCAAAACGACGACACCAACAGGATAACAAGAGATTAATGTGAAACGGGTTCGCCGTGAGAAAGGCCAGCAAACGGTGTGCAGCCCAAGGCAATTGCAGTTGCACGCGGGTCTGATTCGAGAGGGTCCCCTCAAAAAAAAAAAAAGAAAGATTGCCGAGATGGTGCTGGAGAACCAAAAACCGCCAGGGTTTCCAGACAGACGGATAGACAAGCAAGCAAAAACGAAAACGACAGTCAGGGGGCAGCAGGCCAAATGAGCAAGCCTGTTGTTAAGGTTGGGGTGTTTTAGCGAGCTGGGATTGCCCCTGAGCAGTGCTGTGGTGGTTCCAGCGGGAGAGTTTCGAGCCTCCGTGGCACGGAGTGGAGAGCCACGTGATTCCCACACGAGCCTAAGCTGGGAGATGTTTGGGAACAGGACGATCGTTGTTTCAAAAATATAGCATTGTGTTTGAGATTTTGCTCCAAAGACCTGCGTTTATTGTTTCATTATTTGCATCATACATTGTACTGTACATGTGCACATTCATCAAATTGAAATGTATCCCTCCATGTTGATATAACCTTATTTATACATAAACTTATTTGTTAAAGCTAACTACCATATTAGCAGAAACGAGTAGGTGATATTACAAATTTCATTGCTTAATTTATTCTATTACTGAGAAAAAGAATCCCCCAGATTAAAGAAAAAAAAAGAAAAGAAGCAGCTCAAATAATGAATTTCGTTGGGTTCTGTTGGCCCAGAACTCTATTGAAAACGATCGTAAAATGGATAGGATAGGGTGAGGTGTGTAATAAGTAGAGTATTGAGGGGAAAACATGGTTTTTATCTGTCTCAGACAGCCAAGTACCGGAAATTTATCCCTAGCTATCATAAATACATGACAGACCAACCACACATACCAGAAAGAATAGCGGCAGAGGCGGCGCTATGTGTGTTTCCTTTCAAAGATAGGGGGGTTAGGAATGGTAATGGGCAACAGACGGAAAGAAGGGAGTGCAAAGAAACGAAGTAAGAAGAAGGACGGATGCTATTGTCCATATTATATATGTATTATTAGGCTCAATCTCGGTGCATAACGCAATAAAAAGAAGAAAGGAACTTAAACTGGGAAAATTGCACATAGACATGAACTATGGAGCATAGTAGAAAGAAAGAGAGAGAAAGAGAGAGAGAGAGAGAAGGGGGGGAAGAATAAACACAAACAGGTTGGTAACATGTGGTTTAAAATTGATAAAAAAGGGAGGGGAAACGGACTCCCAGAAGCACAAGGCAAACTATTTTTATGAAGAAAAAGAAAAGAAAGAGAAAGAAAAGCCCTTCTCTAGCTCTGCTTGCATTCCGCAGCCTCTTTCTTGGGCTTCGTTCCATCGTCCTGGTATATCTGAGTTAGCTCTAGGTATTCTTGGAATTGGAATAGAAATCTCGAGTTTTCCTACCTCCTCATCGGTTTAGTCATCCCATTTCTCCCCTCCGTTCTCCGGTCATCATCGTCGTCGTCGTTGTCGTCGTCGTCCATCCTCATCATCGTCATCGAAATCGTCCCATGTCCATCTCCCTCATCGTATTCCTCAAAATTGAAGAGCTTCTCCGGTGAACCCAGTCGACGGCTCGGGGAATGAGTTTCTCCTTAATGTCCTCACCAAGAGTGTAGTCCAACTCCAGTCGCTCTTCAATATCGGATGCCGCGTCATCGTCACCACCTGCTGGCACTTTTGGTGGGGAGAAGAAATTGAAGAACGAATCTGTGGGAACCTTGACCTTCACAACGCGGGTCTGCTTGGTACCTAGATTTCATAAATAACGACGGTTAGAATATTGATGTTTGACGCACTTGGATTGAACAAAATCCTTACTTTTATTTCGTTGCTTTTTGCTTTCGTATCGGACGGTAAGGTCCTTGCCCTCTTTCCATTCAATCTCATCGCCCTCGGCATGATCGTAAATGAAATCGCCACCGTAACCACTTTCTTCCTGATAGTAATAGGTCTTAGAGATGGTTTTGTTGGTAAAAAACTGGTTTTCAGCAAACTCGAATATCAGGCGGAAACCGGGACGTTCGAGATATTCCATACGAATGTCGGTCAATTGTTTCAATGCCTCCTCGTCCCTGTCGGTGATCATTTCAGAAAGAGAGATATGGTTCTTCATGGCAGAGAGCCAGAACTCGGGAATACCAGCGGCTACAGGCACATCAATATCTTCCGATTTTGCTTCATCCTTCGCCTTAGAATCCCGCTCTTCGTCCTCATCTTCTGGTTTACCAGCCTGTACTTCGTCTTCGGTAGGCTCAGATTGTCCGTTGACGATAGTCGCACGTTTAGCGTACAAAGGTTTAAATTTGGCAAAGTATTCCTTTTCTAGCTCGAGGACTTTTTGTTGGAATTCCGCCTCAAGTTTTGAATGCTCTTTCTGGATTCCTTTCAGGCCTGTTACACGACGACGAACGGGCGCAGGGAGAGACTCCACATAACCAGACGATCGGCCAACCAAAGACCCAAGTCTCCCCTGGATCATGGAAATCAGTTTTGGGTTTTGCGCAAAGAGCGAAGCTGCCGTTGCACGGTCGAGGTCCTCTGCAAGTCATAAGACTTCAGGTTAGTTGACATAACAAAATGCTGACAATGACGAATACTCAATCACAACGAGGATGTGAATAAACACAAACCACGCACCTTCTTTAATGCTGGCGACACCAGGTTGTTGGGCATGCGAGGAGATGGGAGCATTGTTAGCTGGGGTGTTTTGGGGGGTACTGTTTGTGATTGTCGACGATTAGCGGTCAGAAACGGTTTGGGGATGGAGTAGGTGGGGTATGCGTACGGGGCTGTGGGAAATTCCACTTTCTTGTTTCGAATGGGTTCCGACATCTTTCCGAGCAGGCTGGGGGGATAGAGAGAGTGCACTGGGGAGATGCTGGAAAAGGAGGTGTGATGGGAGGAGAGAGTCACGAAGAGGGAGGAATTGAGATGAGGACGACAATATGTTTTGGGTTTTTTTTTTCCTCAGCGGCGAAACGCACCGATGGGGTCCTTTTGGTGGGAACAATTAGCGCGGTTTTGGTTGAGGGGGCTTGGCACAGTCCAGACACAGAGTCAGCGAAAGATAAACAAAATGCTAGTTAACCTCGCAGTAAAGTAAAGAGCAAAACAAAGAACATGAGTGCTACGGGACCATATAACTAGATGCAGGTAGATTGGTGGGAACCCAAGACGTCCATTTGGCTGGCGAATTTCCGGAGCGTTTATCTAACTTGTGTATATGTAGTAACTTTGAACCCATACACAATCCAGAGGAGGCTATGAGATACTCAAGTAAGTGCCAGCAGACAATTGCTTCCGAGATACCCCCCTATCCTTTACTTAATGATCAAAAGCCCGACATTAGTTGTTAGAAAAATATTATGCCCGAAAGGTGTCCAAACGCTTGCATTCCAATCTTGGAAGGTTCTACAGCTAGTTCACGTGATTATCACTATCCGCAACCTTGGAAGCCTTCTCACGAGCAAACCTTGGGCTTTCGGAAATTTGACTTATCTAGGTCCTCCAGAAACCAAAGCCCGGGTTGGAAAATGTTCGCCAGGGAAATAGAATTGTTTGAGAGTGAGTGAAAAGCACATGAGGATCATGGCGGGACATGAGCCTTCTGCGGAGTGGGACAGGGTTGGCGGACCGGAGTCCCCTCTCGGTCATCGAAGATCATCAGTGAGAAGCAGGTGCGTGCTATATTACAAAACGTGTTCAAGATACACTGGCGTATAACTGACTATATGTGTAGCTCTAGTATCATATCTGATGTTGAAATGGCGCACGATGAGGTCCGTATACGGACCCTCTGACTCCCTGCCACGAGAGAAGTGGAACGAATGAATTTTGACGTTGAGATAGATCTATGCGGGGCCCGTTTCAGAGAGCATCCCCTCTAGCTCTGCCTCTTTTGTACCTCGCCGATCTCGCCGTGAATCGCAACTCAGTTTCACTTACTTCAGGGAAACCTCGGAGGTGCCGGAGTGGGCAGTTGTGGACGCCGTTGGAGATGAAGATGAAGTCGCAAGTGGGTATGCGGGAGGAAATGAGGTCGACATTGAGGAGGCACCGCTAAGTCCTAGCCGTGCTTCAATGGACTCCCGTGTTGCCAGAGATTCCTTCGATGCGCCATTGCTACATCGAGACGAGTCTCCCGAGGGTTCAGTGAGACGACAGTCCCTTGACGAGGTGACTAGCCAGAAAATATACGTCGCAACGGAAGATCTGACGGTGGTAATCGCGGGTTTCAACACTAGTATTTCTGGCTATCTCCTATACCTTACAGTCTGCTTCCTATCATGTGGTTTAGGGTACCTTCTTTTTCGATGGCTTCCCCGATGGCGTATGAGACTAATCGGCACGCCAACACCATTATGCCGATGTCAATGGGCCGTAGTCGAGGTAAGATATTTCTCTCCTTTTCTAATTGATTGACACGACTGAAATGAAGTAGGATCAATGGTCACAATTGACCGTTCACGAAGTTGTCAGCCAGCCGTATGATCGCCCGTTATCCACGGTCTTTGGCGCTCCGGCCAAGGAGGTTGACACTCCCATATTTGATGAGGAGTATGACCCTGTTATTTCAACCCTACGGTTCTTGGATTTTCGCTATATTCGCTTTTACTACCATCCTGCCGAATACCGATTTTTGCAGTGTACCGGGTGGAAAGATCCTTCTTGGACAAGCATTAAAGCTTTGCGAGTTGGGTTAACGGCGGAAGAGAGGGATTTTCGGGAACAAATATTTGGGCTCGAACATAATCGATATCCGGCAAAAAAGTATCCCGCAAATCCATGGTCGACGAAGTGAGTTCCTCTTTTCCTTTTCTTTTTTTGTTTTAATGGTCGTGTACAACAGCTTATCTCCTCTGCTTCGAGGCTTTCCACCCATTCTACATCTTCCAGGTTGCTAGTTTGATCCTTTGGTCAATGGATCAATATTATTATTATGCGGCCTGTATTCTTCTTATTTCGAGTCTTCAGTATTACAACAACGACCATAGAAACAAGATCGGTATTCTATTTCTAAAGTCCTCGACTTTTCAAAGGCTGTCCTGACTCTGAGTATCAGACAATGCGGCGTCTTAGAGAAATCTCCCACTTCGAATGTAATGTCCGAGTGTTGAGGAGTGGATTCTGTAGGAGTTTCTCTTTCCAAACCCGATTAGATTCTCCTTCCTAAAAACAGTGTTATGAGTCAGATGTTGATAATGTATAGGGAGAACTATTCAGTCACACGACCTAGCCCCAGGCGATGTGTATGAGGTTTCCGATCCATCCCTGACTCAAGTTCCATGCGATTGTTTACTCCTAACTGGAGACTGCATCGTTAATGAGAGCATGCTGACAGGTTCGCAAACCCTCGACTTTTCGAAACAGCAATACTAAACCCGAACTAGGTGAATCCGTTCCTGTCGCAAAAACCCCAACCACAAATGAAGCTCTTGCCTCTCTCGACATCAGTGCGCCATCGGTCCAACCAAATGTCGCAAAACATTCCCTTTTCTCCGGAACAAGGATAATAAGAGCTAGGCGCCCGCAAGATCCTAAGGATGACGAAGCCGTCGCATTAGCTATGGTGATCAGAACAGGTTTTAATACAACAAAGGGCGCCCTTGTTCGCTCAATGCTTTTTCCGAAGCCATCTGGCTTCAAATTCTACCGAGATTCTTTCCGGTATATTTCAGTCATGGGTATTGTTGCTGGATTCGGATTCATAGCGTCTTTCATAAATTTTGTCAGATTAGGGGTATGGGAATGACTTGATTTCTGATTAAGTTTCTCTTTCAACCTAACCGCTTTGTATCAGCTCCCCTGGCGTACCATTATTATCCGTGCTCTTGACCTTATCACCATTGTTGTTCCACCCGCGCTACCTGCTACACTATCGATTGGCACAAATTTTGCCCTCTCTCGGCTCAAAAAGGAGAAAATTTTTTGCATTAGTCCTCAAAGGTAAGCCTTCAAGCGAAGAAGATGAACACCGGTAACTGCGTTGCTGAAAGGTCCCTTACAGGGTTAATGTTGGCGGGAAGCTCAATGTAGTTTGTTTCGATAAGACGGGGACTCTAACGGAGGACGGTCTTGATGTCTTGGGGGTTAGGGTAATTTGCGGACCGGACTTAAGGTAAGTCAATCTCTTAACGCAAAAGAACCTATGCTAATTCCAACCGATTCGACGTACCGTACTAGATTTAGCGACCTCCTCACCGAATCATCGTCCATTCTTCCTCATCGGTCGTATGAGAGAGAACCCACGGTGGACTATCGTGCAAACAGATATATTCTCTATACCATGGCAACGTGCCACTCCTTGCGGATTGTCGATGGTGAACTGATTGGTGATCCCCTAGATGTGAAAATGTTCCAGTTCATTGGGTGGTCATTTGAAGAAGGGAGCCATAATGCTGCAGATATAGAGATGGACCGTGACTATGGTTCTCCATCTATCGCCAGGCCACCAGCTGACTTTTCTCCTGATTATAATGATCCTGACCCAATTGTAAGTTGTTCTTCTGAATCGCTTTTCTCCCCGCTAACGATCTTACAATAGGGCAAACCATTCGAGCTCGGTGTCCTCAGGTCATTCGAATTCGTGTCCCAACTTCGTCGGTCAAGCGTTATAGCTCGACAGTTTGGCGACCCAGGTGCCTTCGTATTCGTAAAAGGGGCCCCTGAATGCATGAAAGACATATGTCTTCCCGAAAGCTGTAAGTAAATTACCGCGACTCAGGCTATAATTCCAGGCTAATAAAGTTGTGAACAGTACCTCCCGATTTTGAAGATCTGCTTAGCTTCTACACCCATCGAGGTTTCCGTGTTATTGCCTGTGCAGCAAAACATTTCCAGAAGCTCAGCTGGATAAAGGTACAGAAACTACATCGTCTGGAAGCCGAATCTGATCTCGAATTCATTGGCTTCATTGTCTTCGAAAACAAGCTCAAACCTAGTTCCAAAGGTGTCATCACTGAACTAAACCAAGCTCACATTCGAAACATCATGTGTACTGGAGATAATATCCTGACACGTGTCAGTGTCGCCCGAGAATGCAGAATTATAGACTCGTCGAGTCCATGCTTTGTACCCCGGTTTGTTGACGGTAAAATATCGGGACTCATGTCGTGTTACAGACGATATCACCTCACTCACTTCCAGGATATCTGTTCGACCCCTATGCACCTCTGAGCTGAGAGAATACATAAAACTTAGAATGGTCTTCTCGACAAAACACACTGGACGGGATGCT